GGCTCTTACCAAGGTGGACATGATGGAAGCTGTGCCAAAGTCTGGCCTTATACAAATTATGATAACCTAGTTGTATAACCATGGGTACAAAACAAGCATTGCAGAGGCAGCTCTGAGTAGGAAGCTGGGCTAGCATCCAGGTGAGAGAGACCGACGGGCTGACAGACCAGGGAAAACACATGATCTAGGTCCAGTGTACTGTCCAGTGATGGGGGATGTTTGAACCTGTTTATCAAAAGCTTTATGAACTTTCTAGTTTAACTTTGATCTCATACTGGTAAAGCTGTAGGTTTGACAAGAGGATATGTAAGTTTTCACTTAAGAAGCCAGGAAAATAAAAGCAGTTAAACTCTAAGTAGAAGAGAGGAAATAATAAAGGCAAAAAGATGTAATAAATAATATGGGAAATGGACAAACATAAAAGAATTAATGAAACAAAAAGCTGCTACTCAACAAGATCGATAAAACTGAAATAAATCTCTAGCTAGACAGATCAAGGAAGAAAAATACAAATACAGAAACATTAGAAATACAAGCAATATCTGAAAAGAAAGGACATGATTAGAGATAAGAAGGAAATAACAGCAAATAGATAATAAGGAAATATTATTCTTACAGGTTGAAACATGTCCTCCAAAAAGATATGTTGAAGTACTCACTCTTGCACCTGTGAATGTGACTGTATTTAGGAAGAGGGTCTTTGCAGATGTAATTAACTTAAGATGAGGTCGTTAGAGAGGGCCATAATCCGATATGACTGGAGTCCTTATAAGAAGAGGAAAATGCATCTATGACAGAGGCCCACAGGGAGAATGCCATGCGATGACAGAGGCAGAAATTGAGGAATGCATCTACTAGCAAAGTAACACCAAGGATCAACAGCCACCACCCAAAGCCAGAAAGAGGCAAGGAGAGATTCCACCCAGAGTCTCAGAAGAAGCATACTGACACCTTGGTGATGGACTGCTGTCTTCTACAACAATGAGAGAATACATTTCGGTTGTTTGAAGCCAGCAGATTTGTGGTACTTTGTTATAGCAGCCCTGGGAAACTTACACAACTATGAAAAAACAATATGACAATAAATTTGACCATTTAAACAAAATGGACAGATTTCTTGAAAGATAAAAATTATCAAAATTGAAAAAAACAATGTCTAAATAATCCTAACTCTATTAAAAAAAATGGTATTCCTAATTAAATACCTTCTCCTAAAGAAAACTTTAGACCAGATTATTTCACTAGTAAATTTGATCAAACATTTAAGGAATGAAAATACAAATCCTATCCTCAAAGATAGATGGATATTCCAAAAAATGTCAAATGAGTATCTAAGGCCAGTATTTCTCCAATACCATGAACACAAAAAGACATCTAAAAAAGAAAATAACAGACCAATATCTGTTATGAATATCAACACAAAATTCCTTAAAATATTACGCAAGAAAATCAAGCAATATATTAAAAAGTATGATAAATACAGCATCACCCAGTGGGATTTATCTAAGCAGTGTAAGTTTTATTTAAAACTCAAAAACAAATCAATGTAATTCACCATATTAAATGACTAAAAGAGAAAATCTATAATCATCTCAATAAATGCAGAAAAATCATATAACAAAAAACAACGCCCCTTCATGATGAAAGTCTGCATCACTAAGAATAGAAGGGAATTTCCTCCACATGATAAAGAGGATCTACAAAAATACCTACAGCTGACCTCACACATCATAGTGAAAGACTAAATACTTCTCTTTGTCAGACCGGAACAAGGATGCCTACTACCATCACTTCTCAACATTGTACCAGAGGTTCAAACCAGTACAATAAAGCAAGAGAAAAAATGAAGGAAAAGGATAAATAAATCTTTCTACATTCTCATGGGACATAATCATGTACATAAAACAGAAAAATCCTACTGAATCTACAGAAAGGAGAAAACAACCTACAGGAAATAAGTAAACTTAGCAAGGTGTTAGGACACGAGGACAATTTACAAAAACCAATTTCATTTCTACAAATTAGCAACAAATAATTTGAAAAGAATGTCAAATGCCATTTATAATAGCATCAAGAAACATAAATTTATCAAAATACGTATAAGACATACCCTGAAATGTATCACACTGCTGACAGAAATTTAAAAAGAGATAAATAATGGTCAGGAATTCTAACATTCAATATTGTTAAGACGGCAATTCTCCCAAATTAATCTACAGATTCAATGCTGTCCCAGGCAAAATCTCATCAAACATTTTTGAAAAAATTTTGAGAAAAAGTAAAATTCCAGAATAGCCACTATACTTTTTAAAAAGGACAGATTTGGAGGATTCATACATTTGATTCCAAGCCTTACTATAAAGCTATCTCACTGAGACAGTCTGGTGTTACTGCAAGAATAGGCACATAGATCACTGAGACAAACAGAGAATTCAGAAATAGACCCACACAGATATGGTCAATTACTTTTCTACAAAGCCACCAAAGTAATTCAACGGACGATAGGGAAGTCTTTTCAACAAATTGTGCAAAAAACCCGGATATCTATATGAAATAATAGTGAACTTAGACCTTTTCTCACACAAAAAATTAAGCTGAAATGACTATAGGCTCAATATATAAGTTAAAACTATAAAATTTCTAGAAGCAAACACAGCAGAAAAATCCGTGACCTTGATGTAGGCAAAGATTTCTTAGGACATAAAAAGCACAAAAAAGGAAAAAGATAATCAATTTTTCTTCATCAAAATTTTAAAACTTCTGCTTCTTGAAAGACACCATTAAGAAAATGAAAAGGGAAGACATAGACTGGGAGAAAGTATTTGCAATACATATATCTAACAAGGGATTTGTATCTAAATCATATAAAAAACTATTATAGCTCCATAATAAGACAGAAAACCCAATTTTCAAAAAGATAGACCAGACACTTCAATGGGCAAAATCCTGAACAGTCACTTCACAAAAGAAGATGAACAAATGGCCAATAAACACATGAAAATATGCTCAATGTCATTAGTCTTTAGGGAAATACAAATTAAAAAACCACAATGAGATACCATTATACACCCAACATAATGGCTAAAATTAGACAGACTGCTAATATCAAGTATTGACAACGACATGAAACAAGTAGAATTCTCATGTGTTGCTACTGGGAAAATAAAATGATGCAACCACATTGGAAAAAAAAACTAGAAATGTCTTATAAAATGAAACATGCACTTACTATAGATTCAACAATCAAATTCCTAGGTATTCAATAAAAAGAAATGAAAAAACATGTCCACACAGAGGCTTGCACATAAATGTTCATGGCAGTTTTATTCATAACAGCCAAAACTTAGAAACTCATCAAATGTCCATAGGTAGATGAACAAATGGTGGTTTACCCATACAATGGAATACTACTCAGTAACAAAAAGAATGAACTAATGATACACGAAAGAACATGAATTAATTTCAAAAATATGCTGAGCAGAAAGAAGCCAGATACAAAAGAGCACACGATGTATGAAATTCTATAATAGGCAAAACTAATTGATAGTGACAGAAAACATATCACTGCTTGCATGGGTTCAGGTGGGTGGGGAGGAGCATAAAAGAACTTTTGGAGGTGATGAAAATGTTCTATGTCTTGATGTGATGGTATCTAAGAGCTGTATACGTGTGTTAAAAACCCATTGATCTCAGGATTTAAAATAGATGTGTTTTATTGCAAGAAAGTATAACTCAATAGAGTTGATTTTTAAAATGTAAGGTCCACAAAGACAAAGAAATCCTGAAGAACTATCCCAGATTAAAGGAGAGTAAAGCAATATCACAAGTAAATGTACTGCACGATCGTGAACATGGAGGAGAAACACCTATAAATGACATTGTCGGGACAGTTGACAAAATATGAATGTGGATTGTAGATGAAATCATAGTACTGTAGAAATGCTAAATTTCCTGATTTTGATCATTGTACTATGGTTTAGCAAGACATAGTCCTTGTTCTTGTAAAATATTTAGACAAAGGGACATAATGTCCCCAACTGATCATCAAATGGATATCAAAAGGAGAGGGAGAGAACTGCAAAGCCTCAACTAGAACAAAATATAAACAAATGCTACCTATGGGTAAAGGTTATATGAGAGTTCCTTGTACTATTGTTTCAACTATTCAATAAGCTTGAAATTAGAGTAAAATTTTAAAAAAATTCTTTTTTTAATGCGAGGTAAGTATCCAGAAGAGGGGTGGGAGGGAGCAGGAAAACTATTTCTTGGTTCTTAATTGTGCTATCTTCCAAACCCAGAGGCTATTGAAATGATTTATCCTATCCATAAGGAAAAGACCCAGGCTCTTTACCAGAGTTCTCTACCTGGCTCTGTGAGGGGTTCAGGGAAAGAGAAAGAATTTCTCAGGGCCATTAAAGAGATGGGAAACTGCTTTCCAAAGACAAAATCTTCCCCAAGAAGACAGATGGCATCTGATCTCGTAAATCATAATTGAAAACAGCATTTTCTTCTTCTTCCGACTCATCTCTGTTTCCACAATGGAATAAATCCTCCTGTCAAAAAATATTAATTTGTAAGGAATCACAAATTATCACAGGAAACAAACAAAAAAATGACAAAATTCCATTTCACCTTTCTTCTGTGTCAATTGAAGCAGGGAGTGAAATCACAATCAGTTCTCTTCTCACAGATACATTTATATTTCTTAGCACAATCAATATCTGCTATTCTTATTGAGCTTAAAAATGCACATTTTCCTCTTCTCCCGGAAGGCAAACTCATTATTTTAAAATTACTGTAGAACAGAAAACATACATGGTCAATCGTTGAATTCTGAAACTTACAAGAACATAAATCATAATCGTCTTAAGTCTGTGGCCTAAAGATCTGGAATATGGAAACGTTAATCATAACTTCATCAGGAAAAGATTTTCTTTTGCTTTTTAGCCCATTAACTAGAATAACAGCCTCCTGATCACACCCATGATCTTCCATTTTATTCCACTGTAGCAATTTCTGGTCAGAAGGCAAAATTACCTTGCAATATAGCTATCGTTTCATGATATATAGCAAGCATGCTTTCTTATGTTAACTTTTTCAATAAAGGTAAGATATTAAAAGGAGAATAACTGGGAGCCAGCCCAGTGGCATAGCAATTAAGTTCGCAGGTCCTGCTTTGGCAGCCCAGGTTTCACAGGTTCAGATCCTGGGCATGGACCAATATACTGCTCATCAAGACATGCTGTGGCAGGTATCCCATGTATAAAAAGTAGGGGAAGATGGGCATAGATGTTAGCTCAGAGCCAATCTTTCTCAGCAAAAAAATAGGAGGATTGGCAGTGGATGTTAGCTCAGGGCTAATTGTCCTCAAAAATAAAAAAAAGAAAAACTGAATTCCTGTGACAGAGATAACTAAGTCTGGTGTGCATATACCTTAAGGAGAAAAAGTAGAATTGGAATATGGTCAGAGATGAGGTTATTTAATTGATGTTTTTATTCGCTTTTTTTCTTTTCCTTCCCTACCCCATTGCTAGTAATCATTAGCTAAAACATGACAATCCGTTGAGAAATATCTAACAGTGAGACTTCTATCTCAGCAAAGTGGTGGATTACATACCAGAACTATCTTCCTATGGAAATAACTAAAAATGCTGAATAAAAATATTTAATCCTTCTTGAATATATTTATGAATTGGCAAGAAGCAACTTCATACACAAGCTGAGAGTTAAAGTAAATGTGGGAACCCAGAAGGGTAAGCGAAGCTCTGAAGTCAGTTTTTCCCTTCATTGATATAATAGGTTGAATAATGAATTCCACCTATGATTCTAAATAGAAAGCAAGCTACATAGAATTGAGATGCCAAAGGGATGTAACTTCAGTATAAACCACCCAAGAACTGTCTTGAATCTTGGTCTTAAGCAGAAGAGAAAAAGAATAATCCCACCTAAGAGTTCAAAATCATACACCATCCCTCATGTAATCTGCATTTGCTACATTATTTAAGAATATTCAAAATTGCTACAGGAATAAAGAGAAATCAACAAGGAAGATAAATGAAACTAAGTAGCTCATGAGGCAGAGTCAGAACACATAAGATGTAAGTATGTATATGTAAGTAACCTATGAGACATGCTAGGTATAGATACAGTAAGGAGAACATGTGTGTGCTGATCATGGGAAAGGAAGAAGGAACCAAGTATGACACTAAATAGAAGACTCAAAATATACATGATGCACATTGATCCTCAACATTCATGAGGTCTTAAGTTCCCCACCCACTTGTGACATTCATCTGACCCTCTGCCTAAGAAACTCAAATAAAACCCATAGCTGCTCATAAGGTTAACTGGAAAGCTGTAGCTGTAGACAGGCTTACATACTCCTGTATGTCCTCGGTAGAGAAAATGTGCATGATCGCCACAAGAACCTTCTGCCTGTTGGGCCCCTTTACTCAAACCTCAAGTCTGGTGCTAGAAACCATCAGCAGGGAAGGGGTATGCAGCAGAGAGAGTCAGGCCACGTGAAGATTGCATAACCCAGGATTCAGGTGATCCTTTCACCCACTTGCACCTTATCCTAGTGTGACAACGTATCCCATCCCACCCAAGTGTGAGAGCTATCCCATTTCTTTCCCCTTGCATAGTACGATGTGGTTTAAATTGATTGAATTAACTGTGCAATTGGAGCATGTTAATTTGGCCTGTGAGCCTTTCTGTTCTGTGACCTCTGAGATTGTTTGCCTAGTAAGTGTACTTACAGGCTACGATTACATTAAGGTAACCTCCTGCATGACACCTTTTGTAGGTTTTCAGCCCAGAACTAGACTTCAGAATTTAGAATCAGTGGCCCAGATTCATAGTGCCCCAAGGCATCCAAAAATGCAAATTCTTTCTTGAGGAAGCCACGTTCATCTCAGTCCTTAAATAATTTCCACAGCAGATCAAAAAGGAAAAAAAAATCACTAAATGCTACATAGAAAATAGCATCATGGACAAAAACCAGCAGAAACAATACAGTGGAACCACAAAACTACAAAGATAAGAATGATCAGATACCAAATATAAAATAAGAACATTTAATATCTTTCAAGAAATGAAAGACAGCTTGAAAATATGAGTAACTAGCAAGAAAATTTGGAAACATAAAATAGAAATTCTAGAAATAAAAATGTAATATGGGGGTCAGGCCCTTGGCTGAGTGGTTAAGTTCGCATGGTCCGCTTCAGCGGCCCAGGGTTTCACCAGTTCGCATCCTGGGCGTGGCCTGGGCACCGCACATCAAGCCATGCTGATGTGGCATCCCACATAGCAGAACTAGAAGGACCTACAACTAGAATATACAACTATGTACTGGGGGACTTTGGGGAGAAGAAGGAAAATGAAGAAGTAAAAGATTGGCAACAGATGCTAGCTCAGGGCCCATCTTAAAAAAAATATATATATATATAATACATAGTTCATATTTTTTAAAAAGTCATTGAACAGTTTAACAGCAGACTATAATTAAACATAAACTCAAGAGTTTAAAAAATACTGCACTTCAAAATAGAAGAACTATAGTGAAGTTATATGTGTGTGTGTATTCTCACATGTATTTATATTTATAGATAATAGAAGCTAATAATGTAAAGGAGTTTCCAATGAGTTTTTGGAATATTCAAAATACTCATTGGAGGTTATGGGAGGGATCACTTTGGCTAAGTCAGGATGGTCCAATCTCTTCAGATCACTTCACTTTATGATTTTGTGTACCTCATAACACATCCTTCTAAGCATGCGTTTAGAATCATAATTTATATATATACTCCGTATGATGCATGTCTTCCTTTTTACCCATACTTCCTAAACACTTTCTTAGTCATTCTACTTATTCTTACCAGTGACGTCTGCTTGAAAATGAGTGAAGCTGTGCAAAATAAGAGAAGATTCCTTTTAGATACAATTCCAACTCCAACACCAATATGAGAGTTTGGATGCATTCCAGAGACTTACATTCCAGAAGACATGCCGCTGTCAATCCATTTCCACTTACTTTCCGTTGCATTGTATGATAATCCAATCCAGTAGCTATCTCTATAAGTCTGGCGTTGAACAAAGTTCTATTAAGGAAACAAAACATATCATGTGAGTAAATGCCCACCTGTTAGATAATGAAAAGGAGGACAGGTAAAGGGCCCAGCTGTTTCTCTGGCCAGTACTCTGCTCCTCTCCACATCATCCTTCACCCTTCCTTCCTAGAAAACCTTCCCTTCCCTCAATCTCTGTATTTTCAGTTTTCAAAGTAATTTTCTCCAGGATTATTTATGTTAAAAATGGCTGTCAGTCTCATAGATTATTTAAAGCATGGAATAATTTAAAATCTAAATCATTAAGAGGTAGGAGACATTAATTAAATTATGACACTTTATGAAACCATTCAAAATCATGCTCCAGAAAAATATTTACAGATGTAGAAAAATGATCATTACATATTCTTAAGTGAAAAAAGGAATCTTCAAAACAATTTTATTAAAACAACAAATGTATGTGAGGAGATGTGCCTTAGAGCCTTTGGCCTCATAAGAGAAAGCCTTGCTGTAGTTGGAAGAGCTGAAGGAAAAAAAGGCAGTATTTGGAAATATTTACTGTCCAAAAATGTAATATATCAAAGTGGCATATTACATAATGTCTGATTAAATGACTGAATGTACTTTAAAGTATAGGCTTAAATTAATGGCGTTTTAATGCAACAAACATAAAAAGTTACTTTATGACTTGATATCACAAATTCTTTTATGTCGTGATTTAAAACACCTGTTAGGTTTGCATATAATTTTTGTGCTGTTTTCCTAAAAGATAAATAGAGGTTTCAGGTTGATCTTTGCAAACATTTCTCTATAAAAACACATTTTCTGTGTGTGGATAGTTATTATTAATAACAAATTAAAAAGATAATTTCGGGGGCCGGCCCCATGAGCGAGTGGTTAAGCTCCCACCCTCCGCTTCAGTGGTCCAGGGTTTCACTGGTTCGGATCCTGGGCACGGACGTGGAACAGCTCATCAGGCCATGCTGAGGCGGCATCCCACATGCCACAACTCGAGGGACAACCAACTAAAATATACAACTCTTTACTGGGGGTATTTGGGGAGAAAAATCAGGGGAAAAAAGAGAAGATTAGCTCAGGCGCTAAGTTTTAGAAAAAAAGAGATAATTTTGATATTGTCATCGCTGTATTTTCCCTTTTTATATTTCTTTTTGAAGGATATACTTCTTGACGTAATATATAAGAATATTGATCAAGTAAATGTTACCTACAGATGCAGTGAAAATCGCCATAAAGCTAATTTGTAAAACTGTTATCACTTTTATGTTTCTCACTGTTATCTCCATTTTGCAAATCAGAAAACTGGGTCTCAGAGAGGTTAAGTACCTTAGCCACGGACACCCAGCCAGTAAGTGGCAGAAGTGGATTTTATCCCAGGCAGTCTAGCTCCTGTATTCCTAACAGTAACTACTAAACGGTATTGCCTCTGGGTTCTTAGTTGCCACTTTATAGTGAGAAATAATCACTGGTTCCAGGCTGCAATTTACCAAAGGGTTAAGTACTTCACTGAAGGAAAAACATACTTCTCTGTGAACAGGTCTCCTGCAGACTCATTAGAGAGGGAGATGATTGCAAAGACCCAAAGTGTACCTTCAAGGAGGTTTCCATATTAGAAATAAGGATGGTCATTAGGATAGATAATATGTATGGAATGCTTAGTAAGTAACAAAATCATATGCCTATTAGCACGCATGGGTCTCCTGGGAGACTCTTAACTATGCAATTTTTACTCACTCAACAGACAAAACGCAAAGAATAACTCAAGGTCCCTCTTTCTGAACTCCCCCCATCCTCAATATCTTGGGTCCAGAATGATAGAGTCCAAGAGAATAAAAGTAAATGTAACAATACATGATACCAGTTCATCTTCATCATCTATCTTCAAAAGAGATAAATTGTAACTTTCGCAAGTCTCTTTACATCCCATCCAGTTTTCATTTTCACTGGTAAAATAATAACAGTTTACTCCCACAACAGGACCAGTGGTCTTCATTGAATTTGCCTACAATGTAGAAGGTGAAACATTAAACTTCTTGTCCTCTGGTATTCTTGTTTAGCAGAGCAATATATTTATCATTGCTCTATAAATAAACTCTTAATAGCTATCAATAATGAAAATATGAGGGTCATCAATATTCTGGGAACACCAAGAGATTTATGCACTCCCACATTCACTGCAGCATTATTCACAATAGCCAAGATATGGAAACAACCCAAATGTCCATCGATGGATAAATGGATAAAGAAAATGTGATATATACATGGATGGATTATTATTTCGCCTTAAAAAGAAGGAAATCCTAGCATATGCAACAGCATAGATGGACCCTGAGGATATTATACTAATCACAGTGAAATCAGTCACAGAAGAACAAATACAGCATGATTCCACTTACATGAGATAAAAAATAGTCAAACTCAGAGGAAGGGAAAGTAGAGTGGTGGTTGGAGGGCTGGGGCGAGGTGGGAATGGGGGAATGAGGAGTCGTTGTTCAATGGGTATACAGTTTCAGTTATGCAAGATGAATAAGTTCTAGAAATCTGTCGTACAACATAGTGTCTACAGTTAGTAATACTGAACAGTGCACTTAAAAGCTTGTTCAAAGGGTACATCTCATGTTAAGTGTTTTTACCACAAAAGAAAAAAGAAACACGAGGAAACTTTTGGAAGTGCTGGATATGTCTATTATCCTAATTGTGGATGGTTTTACAGATAGATACACAGGCCCAAAAGCATCAAATTGCATACGTTAAATATGTGCAGTTCTTTGCAGAATAATAATACCTCAACAAACCTGGATTTAAAAAAAATAAAATTCAAAAAAGGATTCTGGAATGTGTTCTAAATAAAAGAAACATTATCCTTCGAACTTTTTTTCTTTTCCTCATGTATTTTACAATACCAAACTTTTAAAATATTATTAATTCTCTAGCAATAGACACAGTGAATTTCTACCACACCTACGTGATATTAAACATGTAAAATCTCTTTGTAAACTCCAAATGCTAAACAGATATTTAGTAGTTGTTGATTAACCAGGTGAATTCATTTCATCCTTATGCATGATAACAGTTTATTGTGTGAGATTTCATATTCTTATATCTTGGAGGTCTTTAACGGCATCATCACACAGAGCGGCACAAGCGTCAACACTACGGCGAATCTTGCAGATGAACTGCAGGGACTACGTGCTGATCACAAATAGACCAAAGAGCTGAAGTCAAGGCAGAATAGGAACATGCGCACAAACACAATGATCTTTGCAACAGCATCCAAATAAAAGGCCATGTGCCCATTTTAGCCGAAGTATATTTTTACTGATAGCCTCCATATGTCACGTCAGCAACAAAGTGGGAGTGTCTAATTTGCCCACAGTTCCAAAACCATCCAAATTTTCAAGGGAGGGGACATACCATTTCACTTTGTTGGAGCAGCAGGAATGCAACTGCCATTGAATTTGGGGAACCATAAGGTTCTACTAATCCAAACATGTCTTCTGGGGTCTTCATCCCATATTTGAAACAAGTAACCCGAATACCCACACCACACTAAGAGGCACAAATTAAAGTTGTTTAGTAGACCTGCATCACTAGCACATATCCTCAGCCTCTTATTCGGCCTCAAAGCTTCTGGAGGGGGAAGAAATAATGAAAAGTCACGCTATCTTTCGCTCACGATTTCCTCCATACCTGTACTTTGCAAAGACTTTGAAAAGATCTCCTGTTTTATATGACATCTCATCTTTTCCATAAAGAGTGAGTCCAGTTCCTTTTTCTGATGAAGGGTTTGATTTTTGAGAATGCCACACTCTAAAGTCTTATTTATCAAAAGTTGCTCCTTTGAGTAGTTGTTATTTCGTATACTGTCGTACTGTGGAATGAGCTTTCGTAGAATTTCCTCCTGTTGATGCTTTTCTTTAATACACTGAAAAACTAAAATTGATAGTATACATATAACACCAAAAAGCACTCATAATGTTTAAATGTTGAAATTTAATACAAGAGAAAAAGTGTCCCTTTGACAACCAACCCTTTTCATCACTTTAATTAGTAATTTGACATTAAGAAAGTAACACCTCAATAAACTGATCACAGAAATAGAAACACCAAATTTCCCACTATTAGTAACTTAAGTGTAGAATAAATAAAACAAGATATCTGAATACAATTATAATAGTAACACCATACCATTCAGTTTAGTTTCTTTTTAACAGTTAGAACATCATTTACAAATAAATACCAAAGAAAAATCAGTCAATCAACATTTAGCAACACATCTTCTGAGTATGAAAATCTATACCAAGAAACATGAAGAAATAGCACCCTTATTATTGGAGTACATGCACTATCCAGAGGAGAAAAGAGAGGAAGATCCAAATATGTAATTTTATCTGAGTGAATCATACGAGTGATTTTCACTAAAGATAAAATTAAAGGAATTCAAATAAAAGATATAGGCTGAATTCAAGATCACCCAACATCCATGTATAGAATCACTCTTTTCACTAAATGATTTCTTCATTATGTACTTATAACAAGTAAGAGAAAGTCGTAATTTCTTTTGAACAGTTGTTTCTCAAAGAATGTTCAGGCAAAATTCACAATGATTTAACCTCAGAATGCAGAATATTACGAAGTCTTGCATCAGAAGCAATGTGACCAGATATTATACAGAAGGAGAGAGCTCATTGACAGATGCAGTCATTGGAATAGGTAAGTAAAATGTGATGTGTCTGAGGAAAAATCCCAAAAAAGAGCCACCTGGGACATTCCCCAATTATAGCCGAGAAACAATTGTTGGACCATGATTAATATCTGCACAATTAGCTGTTACGGCTATTACTCAGACTTGAAAGATATAGTTCAAATACTCACTCACTGTCCCCAAAACTCTGACTGTCACCAAAAGAAGTAAACAGAGGATCCCAACAGTCACTACAAAGAGATGCCAGGACACTGAAAATTCTTTAAATAAAGAAGAAAGAAAATAATCATTAGGAAAGAGCTTGGCCTTCTACTGACCTTCACCTAGGACAATATTTGGAACAAAAAGAAAATCTTCTCCAAAAACTTTACAAAAATATATCATACAAATTGATTTAAATTTGTGCCCTTGTAATTGCAGTTTTAAAGTTTCTGATTTCTGACTGACATACGCTCATTGTAGAAATGTTACACACGAGAACAGTTCTATAGGATTTTAAAAGTACATCCCTTACAAAAAAACACAGATGGCTATAGACACAACACACATTTATGAGAATCTATACTGACATATATAATCCTTCCTGTGATCACAATTCATCATGAAGAGGAAGGAGACAGAGTCAGTACTCTTGAGAAATTGGTGGCCAGTAGTGGATATTCTGAAGCTGCAAATGTGGTTGGAGTTCATCCATAAAGTGTTTCTAGAAATCAGCTTTCTACTTTTCTCCAGTCAATACTGTATTTATCCTCCTGCTTTTGAGGTCCTTGTTACCTAAAGGTTGAATCTCTGTCACTAAGTTAAACAAGTAAAAGTTATTCTCAGTTTAGAGTTCGTGACAATATTCAAAGGGAGAGAGAAAGAATAGAAACAAAAGAATGGTCCTGTTGATTTGAACATGTTTGCTTCTTATTGCCATTAAGGTTTGGTAAATACTTAAGATACTTAAAATACGAAATAAAAATACGAATAGAAAATATATAATATGTAAATTTTATATATATAAAATATACAAAATACAAATTAAAAATATATAAAATATTCTTTAAGACTTTTACTTCTCTAGGAAATGCAATCTTTTCTTAAGAGTCTAGTCTGTCCATTACTTTGGTTTTTTTTGTTTTTTTTTTTTTTGAAAGACTCACTCTGAGCTAACATCTGTTGCAAATCTTCCTCTCTGTCTTCTTTTTTTCTCCCCAAAGCCCAAGTATGTATTGTATATTCTAGAAGTAAGCCATTTTGGTTCTTCTCTGAGAGCCACCGCCACAGCCTGGCTACTGACAGACGAGTGGTATGCTTGCATGCCCAGGAACAAAAACCAGGCAGTGGAAGTGGAGCAGGCTAACTTTAACTACTAGGCCATCCTGGCTGGCTCTGTCCTTTACTTTTAAAGGCCTCATGAATTCCTCTTAAACAAATTTGAATGAAAACATTCTATTAGTTTCCTAAATTTAAAAGAATTCACTAATTTCTCCTTTCACACAAACTTAAAGAAAAAAAGACTTGCTCTACTAGTCTACACATTTATTATTTCATATTACCATCTGAGAACCTTAAATACAGATAGGAACACTTTTTTCGAAAGTCTAAAGTTTGACAATCCATAAAAGACAGGTGAATGTAGATACTTAAAACATATACCTTTGCCATCAGTTTTCCCAGGTATTTGAATACCACCAGGCCTTAATCTGTTTTTTGATTCTGAAGGAGACTGAAGAAATCTCAAGGAGGAATCAAGTGTTTCCTGGTTGCTCATGTCTAGAGAAAGAAGAGAAACATGTTTCTCATTAAAACTTCACAACAAGATGATTGCTGTCTAATTTAAAATTAAAATGTCAGTCTATAATAACACACCCAGGATTAAGAGGTATGTGCGTATATCTGTATGTGAATGCGGGGGTGTGTTTACTAACTCCTTTAACTGACCAAAGCACATAGACTGAGCTTGATTTATGCAAGAAAAGGAAAACCTTTCAATACCTCTAATAAAGTGATTTATACTCCCAGAGATTACTGCCATAATTGTTTGAAAATAAAGAAAGAATTTGTAAAAAATCTACCAATAGATTGAATAGGCTGGGTCCTATTCACCCAGCCAATATACTTCAAAATGTGCAATCTACATATACAAATGTTAGGCAGAATTAGTACCACCCCAGATTACTGAGACACTTTTAAAACTATCAATTCAAAATACAAAAATTTCATGTTTTTGAAACTCTGAAAAAATGTAAATATCTTGGCTTAAAAAAAAACTTAATATACATGTTCAGATCTACATATAAATATTAAAAAGCTCTTGTATTCCCTTCGATTACAACATGACTCTACCAGGCTATTTCCCAAAGTGTATCCCATGCACCATCTGCTAAACAATTAAGGGTTAACACTGCAGACTGGTTAACATTCCAGATTCCAGTGCCCCATGCAAGATGTGCTGAATAAAAGTCTCTTTGTTTGGAGCCTAGACACTTGCATTTTTAATCCCAAATGATTTCATGTACACTAAAATTTTAGAAATAATCTTCTAGTGTATGATGCTGCCAGAGAAGATTATGTGAAAATAAGATTTGTCAGTGGGCAGTCAGTTAATATCCATAAAGGATTCAATCTATTAATGGATATTAATATAAAAATAAATTTTTAAATAGTAAATATTTAAAATTTACCTTACTGCATGTATTAATCAGTGTGAAAAGATGATATCCACAAAACAAGAAATATGGAAAACAAATTGCACATGTAACTATATTCTTTACAAAAATTTTTAATTTAGAAAATTCTCTTTAATAATTATTCACATTTTCTCTAATTTCTTAAGGAAAAGGAGTTTTTTCTATTACAAAACCCTTTAAGATTGATAAGATAATATGTAAATCATTAGACCCAAATAAAAAGTAATTAACCCCCCAAAGCCCTCTTCATTTAGATAACACACAAAAAAAATTGTAGCATATTGAAAGAAACAAAATAAGTTTCCATGAATGCTGAACTACAGTTTTCACATCCTTCTGAGTTACTGAAGTTCTAAAGCAACCAATACAGAATACTTACCCATTGATAACATGTTCGTGTCAAGTCATTTGTAATAAAATCCCATATTCCTAGAATCTTTTCTTCATAAGTAGGACTAACAGTATGCTCAGGTACAAAGACCTGAAGGAATAAGAGCAGAGGGTACCTGTGTCTGTGCCACGCAGCGACGCAGGTGCAGAAAGCTGAGCCAACAACAAGGTGGGAGAAGTTGGCCTTTCCAATCCTGGATCCCTTGGGTGTGAGAGGCTGTAAGATGGAAGGCAGAAATGAATTGTCTCTGAGTGGTACTCCAACTCAAAATTGCCTGCCCCTCCTCTTGACCAAAGTGATAAAAGGAAATTGTATGATAAAAGCTGAGGTTGACGGGAAAGGAAAAATGGTCACGAGCTATATGTTCCTTCATTTCAAGTAACCAACCACTTGGTACTCTTCGCAAAATAACATTCAAAATCTGCATTTGAGGACTGAAAAGATAAATGAACACAGCTTTGGAGAAACAAAAACTAATCTTTAACAAAGACTAGCATACTTCAAGGAAACTACTAGTAAAAACAAACGATTAAAATGTATATGTATAAATATACATACAAATACACAAAAAATGTGTACTACTTGATTCTTTAACTCATAAATAATCTGTTAGAAACTTTCTCTTATATGCTGCTACTTGAAAAAATGATTATTTCTCTTTCCCATTTATGTTTATTGCAGATAAATGTATTTCAGAAATTATTTTAAAACATCCATAATTCCACTATAAAAATTTTGCTGCATATTCTAATTTTTTATCCGTGCATTATGTTTACTACCAAATTGGTGTCATTCCATACACAATGTTTTTGATCTATAATTTTTTAATAAATAAAAATTTCTACATTTAAAAACTGCTTACGTAAAATGTCATTTTAAAACCAGATATAGTTATTATCCATATGGATTATACCATAATTTATTTAGGTAATCTTCTACTGTCAGACATTTATGTGGTTCCCAAATTTTTGCTAACATAAAAAATATTGTCCTGTACTTTTGAATATTTTCTTAGGAAACTTTGATAAACACAAAATTATGGGGTCAAGGAGTACATACAATAAAGAACTTTGATACATATTACCAAACACCCTCCAGAAAAGTTGTTCCCATTATACACCACTAGTCATGTATGCAATGTTCATGAGTGATTTTTTTTTTTTTAAGATTTTTTAATTTTTTCCTTTTTCTCCCCAAGCCCCCCGGTACATAGTTGTATATTCTTAGCCGTGGGTCCTTCTAGTTGTGGCATGTGGGATGCCGCCTCAGCGTGGCCTGATGAGCAGTGCCATGTCCCCGCCCAGGATTCGAACCGCCGAAGCACTGGGCTGCCTGCAGCAGAACGCAGGAACTTAACCACTCGGCCACGGGGCGGGCCCCTCACGAGTGATTTTTTAACAGATACTGCTGCCTTATTCCTCTAGTTGAGTGCTGTGTACAAATCTTACTTCATGAAGATCTACAACCTTCCAGCTAAGAGAAATTTCTTTCTAGGACTGTTTCTATGAGCCCAACCGTGCCAGAATACACTCAAGTCTCTCACTGAATTTCACTTTGGTTTGACACAGGCCTTGTCAATCTTCTGACATACAGCTCTATGAAGCCAGTTTAAATTGCTCTTCAAATCAGGTGAGAGTGGTTACTATGGAGTGTGGAGGAAGAGGAGTGAGGTGTGGAACATAGGGGAATTTGATTATGCAGAGCCAAGCCCACACCGATTTCACCAGCTCTGGCTAAATGGCTTGCTTATTCCTCTCTTCTCTTCCCCACTTCTAGCCGCAGCTAATCCGTCCTGCTTTGGAAGGCTTCTTCATCCTTCTGTTTGTTCACGCCCCCACCTCTCCTCCCAACTACTTTACAGACACCATCTACTGAGTGTTTTGACTGCTAGGACCCAGTCTAGGTTATGCTGCCTGTTGTTTGCACTCAACTGGCCTTCTTCTGTCCCCCAATGCCATTCTTAATCTCTGAATCACCACTGAGCTCTGACACTTGTCACCATGTGCAGGAAGGCCGGTGAAATACCTCCCAGAGACTAATTTAATTCAATAATACAGCAAGGTTTCACGGGAGGAGTCTGCACACTTCAGGAATACTTGCTGCTGGGCATTTCCTTCTCTTTACACTAATCTTGGATTGGTTTTGTCAATTTCAAAACAGCGAAAGATCCCCAGTCCTCGGTGGCAATGCCAAAAATAAAGAAATAAAAGAAGCTCTGCTGAGAGAACATAGAGTGTAGGGGTCGAGAAAGAGTAATCATTGTCGAGAAGGCGGCAGAGAGAGACACTATCATTTACTGGAGGACCTACTGTGCGTATAACCGTATTGAAACCTCTTAAAGCTGGCAGCTATTTATTATTGTCCCTATTTCGCAAATGAAGAAATTAACATTAAGAGGTTAACTGTCTTGCCAAAGGACACATTATTGCTAATTCTTGACCCATGTTTAAAATCAGTCCTGAGAGAATACACAGAGCACAAATGGACTATGGATTCAAAGGGCCTGGATTTTCCACAAACCTCTGCCACAAAGCATGAATTCTGGAACAAGGCAGATCTGGCTTTAAATACCAGCCCTAGTTCTATGTGTGACTTGAAGCAAGTCACCTCACTTTTCTAAAGGTTGGATTCACAACAGTAAAATAGGAGTAATATTCTTAAAATATTTAATTTAATATTAAATTAATTAGCATTAATATTTAATATGAGATAGTGTATACAAAGTGCATAACCAGTCTTGGAACATATAGTAGGTACACCTTAAATGTTAAATATTATTATTTGAGGTCTGAGGTTCAGATCCCTCCTAGCTGTAAAAATTTGAACAAGTCACTTCAAATCTTTAGCCTCATTTGCCTCACATGTTCAATAATAGTATCACTCACTTCATAGACTTGGAAGAATTCAATGAGATTATCACTACAGACAGGATTTCTTAGACTTCATAATAGGTAAATCTCCATTTTTTCTCTCTCTCTTCCAAGGAACTGTAAATAGTGGAAGACCCAGGACCGCAATCCAGAAATCCTGACACACTGAGCTAGGTTCTCTATCCTAACACATCAGGTTTGGAGTGTAGATGCTTAGAGGAAAGTTTAGGACCTGGAAAATATATGGCAGCATACCACTACCTCTCTAGAAAAACCATTCTGTAACCTCAGCTCTGGTTATTTACATCTTGCTGTCCCACGGAGATACTGGTAGTGTTGAGCTTTCTTTCTGTTTTGATTTATAATCTGATAGCTGGTGGAGGATAGACAGTTCTCATGTTGGAAGCTAGACAAGTACAGAACACCTTTTTGCACTTACATAGTTGTCTGTCTCCTCTACATAAACTCCACAGGATGAGTTCATCGTCTGTCTTGTTCATTATTGTAACTGCAGTACACAGAAGAGAGATGATGCCTACGTGTGCACTCGATGAACATGTTCAAGATAAGAGAAATTGACTGCAAAATCTAGATTTTTCAATTTTAGAGAGAGGGAGAATGACATTAATGATTGTAAGGCCAAATTGGTAGCTGTTCCCTCCAAGTTCTAGTTTCTTTTTATTACTAAGCTCTGAATTTCTGGAAAAGGCAAATTTCTTCTTAAATGAGAAGACAACCAGCATCAGAAGATAGCAGCAGTAACTTTCAACGGGACTAAATGAAACTCCTAGCATGATGCTTTGATCAAAGCACAAAATTGGAAGCACCAAACTGCACCTATCACAACCACTGTTAAAAAAACAAATAGATGAGAAAGTTGATGAGTGCTTTCAATGTTCTGGAAGTTTGTCTTCTGAATTCACTTTTCTGCAAAACAAACAAACACATACACAACGTGAATATATAAAGCGTTCTAATATTTACTTCCTGGTTGCTTTCCTGCAAATTTTTTCATTTGGGAAACCACACATTTTACCCATTCCTTCCTGACAATATTAACTTTGTCAGCTAGAAGCTTAGTACACAGATTCTAGTCACACCTTCAAGCTTTCTGGTCACAACTTCAAACCTCAGAGGCTTATCGTTTCACAACAGCATGCTGTTCTTCCTGTCCTAAGCTGAAGTAAATGATGTCTAGAATAACCACAAGCTCCCAAAGAAAGATGGTCTGCATCGCTCTATCAGGAGGAGTAATCTCACCTGGCCAGGTTCCCACCTCCTTGCTTGTTTGTCCTAACGCATAACGTTTATGCCACTGAGTAGCATTAAATTTCCTGGTTCTTAGAGTAAAAACTCTAAAGACCTCTTGTTTCAGATTTTCTGTTCCCCTAATTAGAGACTTCATTTGTCCTTCTTGCCTCTACCAAAAAAGCTGTTCTAATGTTCTAGAGTTAAAATTGTCTATATCATCTCAACTAGCCTCCAGCAGTCAGTCAAACAGTAAACATGCTTCCTCCAATTTCTATGTAACTAAAGAAGAAGGCCCTCACAGGAACTCAGTAAGCAAGAAGACATAATGCTAAAAAAAGTATATCAGACAGGTTTTTGGGCTCTGTACCATTAAGGCATCAAGTCTATTCAGAGCTAGACATAAGGTTCATGGGAATAGAATAACTGGAAAGGCAGACTGGGCCAGGCTATGTTGATCTATATTAACAATTGTATAACTGTGAATATAGAAATCCATGTTAACCACTGTATAAGTGTTAATATAGAAAAGTTATTCAATTCCTACTTTAGGCTGCCATTATGGAAAATACACAAGAAACATAAAGAAGCATCCCTTACCACTAGGGTGAAAATTAAACATTTCAGTTGCCCAGGACTGAGGAGTTTCCTTGGATGACGGACTTTCTGTTTTAAAACTTGGAAAGTCTCAGGCAAACTGAAATGCTTTGGTCAGTGTACTTACTACCAGAATAACCCACAGATATTTGACCACAATTTTACATTGTATCTCTGAAAATGTACACATAATCCATTTGGTTTGTGTTTTTTGGTAGAGAACCTCATTCAATATCTTAAGATTTTCTATGCACTCCCTTCAGATTTTTGGCTCAAGTGCCGACATTCATCTTCGGGCCTACTGAACTAGAGCTACAGGAACCAGAACTATGACTATGGAACTTACTGAATGTACAATGTTAAAACCTTTATCTGAGGGCTAATTACTGTCTTTATACCCTAGAAAGACTTCTGAGGTCAAGACTAATTCCCTCTAACCCTGTTTTTAAGATGAAATATGAAAATATACTTATTTAATCCATCATATATATAAGCCCTAAAAAAATGCAAACATGTATATCTCTAGTATCA